ATAATAATACATATATAATTTTTAATTTTCTCTGTTTTTATATATTGTTTGTCATAGTTTAGAAAGACGTGTCTGATCTGGTCCTGACGCTGTTAATTCAAGCTCAATACTTCCTCCAACAACACTTTACCTCTTGTCTTGATTAATTATTTACGTTTCCACAGCTCTAATTCCACCACTACAACACCAGAGTCGTGCCTACTAGGGATGAGTGAGTAGATTATATATATATATTGTATATACCTGTACTTGGAATGGGCAGGGCTTAACCAGGATGTGGGTGTGGCTAACTGGAGGTCATTCATTTGAGCTTTAAATTGATACGGTATGGGTTGATCAGAAGATGCTGTATTTATTAGAAAGCTATTGACACAATTGAGCTTCACAAGACACATTTTACCCTTTTTGATACCAGTACTTGTTTAAGGTATACAGATACTCATTGTATGCTCAACCCTACTGCCTACTTGTCAAATTCATGTGACTTTTAAATTTTTTCTCCCTCTGTTAAAGGGCAACTTCAGAGTCCAGTATTGAGTCAGACCGCACACTGTTAAAGTACATCCATTAAAAGTGCTTCCTACTTACTTCTCTTACAGAGAAATTGATCATTTTTAGTACCTTTTGCTTGATTCGCTGTGTGTCGCTCAAGATGTCGTGAAATCTCAGGAGAGGTGAGGTGACTTGTTGCAGGAAGTCAGCGGTGGAAACGCGTTTTAGATGATTTGTAATTCCATATTTATTTGAGCTGGAGTTTATGGATGAAGAGCTTTCCAATTCAGAGGCTTCATCCATATTGTACGCTTAATTATTAATAATTTAATGACGTATTTTGCTGATTGACCCTTCTCCGTTTTGAACCTTAGCTAACTTAAGATGTGACTTTATATGTCGCTTTTATCTTTTAACCATCTTCATCTCATCCCCATTTGTCACTTTGAGACAAAAACACAGGAAAATAAGGTCCAGGTTGAAAAATACTCAACTTACCCTTCAATGTCAAAGAGGCCACACTTCCTGTTGTAGTGTGCACAAAAGTTCCACATTAAAAGCCTTCTAGTGTCTCAAAGGGTGTATTTTTTTCTTTCCTCATTCACATTTCTTATTCCAGTGATGTTGCTGTCGGCTAATCTCATTACTACCTGTAGACTATAAATGTGCCAGGGATGGGAGCGATTATGCCCTTTGAGCCACAACAAGGCTTTTAATGTGTAAGATCTGCACACCCTTCAGCAGGAAGAGATCAGTTTTGTCAACAGGAACCTAATGCCGATCAAAAAAACTGCAAAAGAGGGAAGAAATTAAAGATAATTAGTGAGTGAAAAGCATTTTCTCATGCAAATATAAGTATAAAAACATTATTTGTACAGTGTTAGTATGTGACACGCGACGAGGTGTAAAGCAGACAGTTTGTAAAGTGAAGCAACAGTTTGATCACATCATGCCACGACAGGAGTGATTGAATAGAAGGTGAGCTTCCTGTTTATCTCTTCTTATACTCGTAAACATCACCTGCTCAAAGATGGCTCCCCTGAGAAAGACGCTCCACTCTGACAAGTGTCGGAGCGCTCGTACGAGTGACAGACATTCAGACGGAGCGGTGAGTCTTCCAGGAGGAACATCTGTAACCGAACTCAGGAGGATGAGCACAAAGAGGACGGATATTCAGAAAATACAGAGTGAGGAAGGTTGACACATTTTCATGCTTTGGATGGTTTCTTTAAGCCCTTTCAAAATAAATGTATTGAGGTGTTTACAGGAGGCGGTTTTATTCAGACCAAACTGATGGCACGGGAGGAAAAAGGCCTCAGGAGACGTGGTCCGAAGAACGAGCTCAGTGTTCGTTATTAAGCTGTGATAATTCAACAAACACAGATTAGTTTTGGAATAATAAGCTCTTACTCTGCTTATCGGGGCAACACAACTGAAGGTTCTGCTTTAATGCCCTTATCAATTCAGCTGATATTATGATTTAGTGGTGCATTTCCCAAAACAACAATGTTGAAATCAAATTAGCAGAAACCAGTTGTCACACACTGAGCCTGGAGCCTTTTTTCAGGTCCAGGGACTCTGTGGCCTTGGGGCAGTTTGGGGCAGATTGCTTTTGCTAACTCAGGTTTATCTGGACACCATGAATACTGAAAGCAAAGTTTCTACCCACAAGCCATCACTCTGATGAACAGTTAACTCCACACACACAGTTTCAGTCTCTTTTTAAGATAGACACTGTATAAAGATATTCTTGTTTACTCAACTGTAAAATACATTGGGCCTGTTGTCCTCTTTATTTCTGCTTATTCTGTCCATTGAGAGCAACGTACCAATAAAAGACAGACGGACTGACATCCTTCTTGTTACTGACGTGTTTACATGACACAGTATTCATTCAGGCACAGCTCCTGCTGTACATTGTGGTGTGGCGTTTGAACCCATTTATAAGTGGTCTGGTCTATTTTCATTTATTTATGGATGTTTAACTTCTTTCATAATACACAAGAATGAACCCAACAGTTGCCTTGAATGTTGTATTGTACAACTAGCACAATGGCCTCAAATATAGCTAACGATATTAATCCGACGGCAGCAGCTCGGTCACAAATCTGACAAAATGGTGGACGTGAAACAGCCAGCAGTCGTTGCTACTAGCAACAAAATGTTTAACTGAAACTGCTGGTGGCTAATTTTGTTGAAAGGTTCCAGCAGCATTTATAGACATAAAGTCAGAGGTCTCCGTTGCTGTTGAACAAAGTTTCCCTAGAGGCTGCAGTCCGGCTGAACTAGGCTGCTGAGTCCTTCTTCTTCTTCTGTTGTTGTGAGTTTAGAGTTTGTTCAGCCGTGCAGCTCCGAGGGCGTCCGTGATCTATAAGCCTCCTGCTGACACGACGTTCAGAGGCAAAGCACTTATTAAACAGCCGCTCTGAACTCAGCAGCCACTCGCACATGACTTAACATTTTTGCAAGCACCTTGCTTTTGCATGGGAAGTGCTTAAAAAACTAAAATCCACGGCAGCGGCGGTGGCGGCCGTGAGAATGTGGGGAGGGGGGAGCAGAGATGGAGAGAGAGAGAGAGACAGAGAGAGCGAGACGGCGTGCGGTCGCGACTCAGCACTCTGCGGGATTAAAATGTACACATCAACCCGCAAACAGACAGAAAAGCCGACTGTAGCTCCTTTTGCAAAAAGGAGGCAATGAATTTAAATTATGCATGAAGCAGAGGGCATTTTGGGAAATAAGCGCCATTCCAGTGGGAGGACTGGCACCCCCTCCTCCAGCCTCCAGTATCAAAGAATGATCTAATGTCACGCACAGAAGAAAGGTTACTTTCTGCATACGCATTGATATTTCTGCTTCCATCTCTGACCTTTTTCCATTCTAAGCTGTGATTTTTTAAATGCGAACTCAGCCCCGCGTCCGTCTGTCTGTCAGCTCCCGTCTGTCCGCCCGCCTGTCTCAGAGGCTCAGGATTAAAGTAAAAATCATCAGGAAAGAAAGTAGAGAAAAAAGCCAGAGGGGAGAACCTTAACATTCATCAACGTACACAGAAATCATTTAGTAAACATCTCCTGCGTGTGTCATCCTCCATCCCGTCACTCCTCGTAGGTGAAGAAAAAGAGCAGTTACAGTGTTGTTATTTTAGCCTTAATTGGCTGTTTGTGCAACATAATTAAGGTTTTAACGAATCCGAGCCTGCTTTTTTTTCCTCCTTTAAATTAGCCGATCCTGTTTCACGCTCAGCACCCGACGTTTGATATGTGGCTTCCATCTTTCAGCAACAAATTAAGCGACGTTCCTGGCATTTTGTGAACTATTAGTGACTTTAAAAATACACAGAGCTTTAATTAATTTCCCTCAGAAATGGAGAGCTGTACGTGTACGTGTGTGTGTGGATAAAGGGATAATGACAGTTTTAATCAGCATCTCCCGCTCTTGCCAGCCTGCACGCAGCTGAACTGTGACACTTTTGTTGGTTTTAAGGGGACAAAAAAAACATTTACACAGAGATCTTTGCACACAGAAAAACCAAAGAATGTCTTCTGTCAAATACAGTTCTATTTACAGTCAACTTATCTTTATTATTTCAAAGGAAATTGTACAGCAGTGAGACTTTACACAAAATCACAGAGCACAAAAACAAAGCAACGCATGAACATAAATATCAATAAAGAAAACAGACCAAATGAAAAATAGATCAAATAAAAGATGAAAACACTTGTAGACGCATATTTACCTGAAGAATTAGTCTGAGAACAAAGGAAATAAGAAAATATAACAGTTGGTACAGTACATTAGGACTTCTATCGGGATTTTACAACAAATCTCCGAAAATATTAGACTCTCTAACTATGACTACTATGTTATACAGCAGAGTTTTATTTATTTTATTTATTGTTGACTGTTGTTGAATCCTGAATGGAACCAGTTCAGTTACCAGAGCTGATTTAGTCTCTTCAGTTTTATAAATGATCTGATACCAGTGGATCTGACGCCTGGTGTGGAGAGATGGACAATTTACTGGAGAATACAGGATACAGTGTTGAGTACTGAGTGAGAGAGAAAAAGTGGATGGCAGTATGATTCAGTTTTTCAACCTCTGTATTTCTAAAACCTAAAATCACCTAAAGAGAAAGCAGCAATGAAAGTGTCTGTTAAAATGGCAGAAGAATGAGGGTATGTTGTGTTTTGGGTTACGGTTGAGCTGAATTCGGGTACTGACACCTTTTTTTGGACCCATTCAGGCGCTGGATTTTTTAGCTTCTTTTACTCTGACAGACACAGTTAGAGACTCGCTGGAAGATCTGTCTGCCAAGAGCGAAAAGGAGAGTGAATATTGGATTTATCAGATGGACATAAACAATATGTCACTGTAGTGGGTTTGTTGTGGAGGCCAAAAGCAGAATTTTATGCCTCTTTTAAAGGACTTCATCTCCATCTCTGCCCCTCTGCTGTTGTTTCCTCCTTTTACTCACCCTTTCTTTGTCTCTTTGTCTTTCTCTCTGCAGACCTCAGGCCTCTTCCCGACGTGGCGATGACCGGTAACTGCACCCACGAGTGCACCGAGTTCGGCCACTCTGACTCCTGCTGGATGCCCGGCCAGCCTTCCCCCACCCGCAAGGTGTCCCAGAACGCCCCCAAGCTCTCCACCTTTGTGCCTTACCAGGAGATGGACGGGCAGGAGCAGCTGATGGCCAACGGCAGCCCCAAGCCCATGGCGACGGAGGAGCGCGGGACGGGCAGTGGCAGCGGCAGCAGTTCCAAAGTGGCCAACATGCGGTTCATGACGCCCTACAGCAGTGCCTACCCTGGGGGTGGAGACTCCGGTAAAGACTGTGGGCTGGAGGAGATCCCACTGAGCCAGGCGGTGGAGTACCACTCGGCCACCACTCCAACCGGCCAGACCTCCAAGAGGGAGATCTACCTGTGAGGGCGCAGCTCTCCACCTTAAAAACCCCCAACCCCCATCCCTAGGCTCCTCATCATCCCTCGTCGCTGCTCGCCACCACCTGTCCCACCCCCTCACTGCCGCCCCCTGTGCCTATTACTCACTGGTGCCGCAGCACCGACTCCCCTTCTTCCTTTTTATAACTGCATCCACCGTACAAGGCTTTAGACCCTCGCCCGCCTCACCCACTGCCACCGCCGCCACCCACCCCCCCTTCTAGAAACCAATCAAATGTAAAATAGAATTAATTAAAATCAATTGAAGAAAACACGTGGCTCCTGCTGCTGCGGAAGGAATGTAAACTACACCACATCGTTGTGATAATTTAATGGGAAACTATTTAGCTACTCACGTATTTGAGTTGGATTTTTGTGTGTTGCTTTAGGCTATGTTGCTGTGTTGGAACAGAAAAAGAAAAAACACCTTCGGGGGGAAGAAGGAAAAGAACATCTTGTAAATCCTACTTAAGTATACTGTGTAATGCTATCTATCCTGATTTTTTTGGTTTGGATTTGTTTGATTTTCTTTATATTTTTCCTCTGTCGACTCCGGAGCCTCCGGGAAATAACATTTTTGAGCCGAGTTGCATCAAATCAACCGGGCTCGTTTTTATCAGGAACAGCTCATCTTAAGACGTTTGCAGAAACGCAGCTGTTTTCCAAACTCCGGAGTTGAGAACTTTTTTTCAGGTCTGTTCATTTTCTTGCTGTGAAGAGGTCTTTTTTCAGTGTACAGAGCTGTAAATACTACAAACAGTGACAGAGGAAACTGCTGTGGCTGTTAGTGTGGATCCGTGGCTGTCGTGCTGTCTGGAGATCTTCATGTAATGTCGGACTGATGGAAAACCTTCGCATGTACAGAGAAACGACGCCACGGCGTTCGCCGTCACCCTGCAGGAACCTGGACTCTTGAGCATCACCGACGGTGCCGAGTTACAAACACGAGACTTTTTATTATTTTTTTCTTCTCCTCTACAACTTTACCACACAGTTGAATTTGGGTTCACGAGGGGACAGAGTCGTTCAAGGATACCAGTTTAATTAGAACCGAAAGAAATATCTGAGTTCTAAGCGCTTCAGTCAGTGGATCGGCCAAAGCTGAGTATCCAAATACTGGTTATATTATTAATGCTCTTGTCAGTAGTATACCATAAAATGAAAGCATTAAAGTGTGTGACAGTTACATTTATTCTCACAGAAAACTATCAAAAAAAAACAACATATATACAATTTGATTTTCATGTGTAAAGATGAAACTTTCCTGAGCTGTGAACTGTGTGAAATTGTGTTCCATCGTTCATGTTTGGAAAGACTAAAAGTCCCGCTAGCTACTTCCCCTTCAGACCGCAGTGTCCATTGTAGAGCTGAAACTATTAGTCTGTCACCAAAGAAAATGAATCGGCAACAGTTTTGATCTATTAATCATTTAAATAATTTAAACTGAGCAAAATTGTCAAACACTCTTTGGTTCCAACTTCACTAAAATGAGCTGTTTCTTCCTCCTTTATGTTATTGTCAGTGGAATATCGTTGGTTTTGGACTGTTGGTTTCCTTTAATCCTTACAGGTAGTTTCAGATAAAAATGTAAAGTTTGTCCTGAATGTGGCACAAGAGGAAAGCTCGAGAGGTCATTGAAATCAAACCGGTTCATCCTTGGGGGAGCAGGAATGTCACAGCAAAGTCTGATATGAATCTGGCCAATATTTGTCGATATGTTTCTAAAGTGTCGGACAGACAGATCGATATCGTCATTCTTATCGGTGCTGCAGCGTGCGAGGCTCAGACAGACTAATTACCACAATCTCAGTCAGGATTAACGCCAAAATCTTCTCTCAACAAAAGATTTGAAGGCTCAATACACAGAGGACATGTTTGAAATGTCTGCTGTGGTTTGTGAAACAGCAGCTGTGTCTTTATTCTGACAAACCGCCACAGCTGTGAAGTGTAGAGGTGCACTGATACTTGCAGGACTGAGTGTGTTGTTTGTGGCGACTGTGGTGGATGTTTCCCCGCTGTGTTCTCGAGCTTGAAGGAAGAGCTCTCTGGTCAGTGTCGCCTCTCGTTAGTTCCCACCTCTTTACCTCCTCAGTGTGAGGCCGAGCCGTTTGCCATTTAGCAGAAGTATTTATTAAACCTGTTAGTTCTGTGCAGCGGGGGAGGTGGGCGCCGCTTCCTGCCGCGCTGCAGCCGCACAGGCATGCAGGATTAATGACACCTGTACAGGCTTCAGTCCACTAACACCCACTCCACACGGTGCAGCAGAGAAACTGTAATTACAACCCGAGGCTCTGCACATTACCGGCGATAATTTGCGCCAGTAAAAGCGAGCTGGTTTGGAAGTTCATTCATTCTGAGCCCGGTGTTAATGGCTGCTGAGGGTAATGTGAGATTTCACCTGTAGTGATGCACACCAGCTGAGAATGGATGGATGAAAGGAAAGCCACAGTGAGACAGTGCGCTGCAAAAAAATCTCCCTAACAAGTCATTTAGTCTCTTGCTGAGTCCCGAAGTCTTAAAACAAAGCAAGAAATCAGCCTGTGGAGGGAGATTATTTCACCCGTTTTCCTCCCGTCAAGGTAGAGCTAAAGCATGAGCACGTATAAAAGGGGCTTCAATGGCCACAACGTTAATCCTTGGGGTCCATCCACTAACTAGTTGTTTCTGCCACTGACAGGCACAGATTGTTATTCTCAGTGTCTGACAGCATTATGTATCTTTGTTTCGACTAGTGTATTATTTTCTAGAAACTTCCTGAAACGGAGAAAGCTGCAGCGGGAACAAGTGGGATTAATCTCGCCCCTGTCGGCAGAAAAGTCTCGACGGCAGACTCAATGACTTGTCAATTGTTTTGGGGTTTTTTGTTTGCAGCGTGTGTGATGTAAACATCCACCCTCCAGAATCACAGAGGGAACATCAAAGCGCCGCCTCCAAGCTGCGACGCCTTCAAAGTCTTAACAGGCAGCAAAACGGGACCATCTGCCGGGTCGCGGAGGGGTCGCACTATCTCGTTTTACTCGCCAAACAATTGCCTTCGCCGAGCATATCGGACGGTCTCCTTCTCCTGCTTTCTTTCCTCTTTTGTTTTGGTGTCGCCCATTAATTGGGTTTTATTGTACATACATTTGTTTTTGATGTGGGGAGCTCGATGTGTGGGGTTGTGTTAACGTGATTCAGAACACGATTCCTCCGGTCTCTGAAGGTGACTTGATTTATTGCCGACGTACCTCGCACACACACACAGTCGCAGTGTTCCCCCAGCAGATAAATCAACCATCATTCAACCGACGTTCAACCCTCCCAGTGACAGAGATTTAGAGTTCACGGGCGCCGCCGCGGTCCCTCTCGCTCCCCGTCTTCCTCTGGTGATTTAACGCCAGCGCTCAGAGCTCTGATTGATTATTTACAGGCCCAACATGGAGGTCCACATTGACTCTCCTCCTTCCTCCCCCCCTCGCCACGCTTCACAGTTTCACCGTAAACAAGTCATTTTTTTGCTCCCCGTGATGCCCGCCTGCCACCCGGCCGACCGCTGGGCTCCCAGGTGGCTGCTGTGTTATGCTGTCTCAGGTAAAGACAGAGGAGAGAGAGGTTGGAGTCATGTAGTGTTGGTTTAACCTCAACTCTTTGGCACCAATTAACCCCAGAAGAAGAAAAGCAACCTCTGGTGACCTCCGATGACCTTTTGTGATCTCTGGCGTTGCTGTTGGCGTTTAGCTCACAGCAAAAAACTGAAATAAAGCGAGCAAACACGAGACTGCTCGTGTGTGTGTGTGTGTGTGTGCCAACAATAATAAGAAAAATAGCAGCAATATACACAACATGGCCAAAAGTATGTGGACGTGTGAGTCCTGCTCATAAAGTTCAGTTATAAAATCCCACAGCGCAGCAGCGTCTCTCCTGAGGACAGCTAGTGTGCCACTAATAATAGACACTGACTGACAACATATCTGAGCAGGATGCAGCCCGATAAATGTGTTTATTTGCATATAGAGCAGAGGAGTGAGATCTGATCACAGGTGGCCACTGGAGACGCATGTTAATACCAGCTGTAAACAGGCTCCTGGAAACAGTTTGGATGTGAGACACATTTTAATGCAAGGTGTAAAACAGACTAGTAGTATATTATATGGACGGGGTTTGACCACAGACTGTTTTCTCTAAGAGGAGTTCATTCAAATACAACGTGTGGAAATCGCCTAAAAGTACCACTAAATTCAAAATGGGTGACTTCCTGTTGGGTTCGAGCTATGGGTCCAATAGGCTGTTTAGTTCAAATGGTCATTATACATGTGCGTCCCGATCTTCATACATATTGGTGCCTTGGGGGCGGAGTTTTGGGGACTGAATTTTGTGCCGCGTTTCATGAGTTTTGAGCATGTTGTGGCCTCCAAAAATGAGATAATTCCCTTAATTTCAAAGTCAGAAGCCTCAGCAACATGTTGGACAAGAGTTTGTAATCAGAATACATCTTTTTTTTTAACAGCCAAGCTCTTATTGTCAGAAATTCTACAATTTCCTTTTAAGTCTGTAGTTTAAAATCGTACAGTATTGGATGTGTACACGGTGCATAAACAATACACACAGTATGTACTGTATATGTGTGTGTGCATAGAAATGATCCTGAGGCCTCCTGTCACACTACAAACACTTCCTGCTCCCTGGAGGAACAACTGAACCCCCCCAATCCACCACCAACCAACCAACCAACCAACTACCCATCAACCCCCAGGAGAGCCGCTGTCACACACACTGACAGTCTCTGTGTGTGTGTGTGTGTGCGTTCAGCAGGTGTCTCTGCATGCAGAGCGTCCACCTCCCGTCCTGCTGCCTTCAGTGACAAATAAAATATATATATATGTATTTCTGACATCGCCAAAGTATTGGAAGCATTATAAATATTCCAGAGAGGAAACACGGATAGAAATGTAATGACTCTTCTTCTCGTGGAGCTCCGGTTGGCCGCCGCTCGTCATCTGGTAGCTTTCTGAGGTTGTGTGAAGCTCTTCACGAGTTATTATCTTTCAAATATCTGAAGGGGAAAGATTTTGATCAGAAAACAGAGTATTTGTCCGTCTGCAGTTTTTATTTGCTTCCCTGTGCGTAAGTGCATCACTCACTAATGAAATGCAGTTCATTTACCTCTGAACACACGCAATTAAACTGCAGTCCTTAATTCAAAATGCTTTTAAATGTAGTGTTTTGGCACTGAAACACGTTGCTTTACCCTTGATTTATTATTAACGTAAAGTGCACTATAGTTCACTTCTAAAACACTTTATAGACTTACTCATTTATGACTTAACTGCATAAATATCTTCTAAAAAACGGTTTATTTTTAAAAAAACATATTGGTTTACTACTGACAGGCATTATTTATGTATGAAATCCACTGCTCTACTTTCAGAGGAATCTTTTGTTTCCTAAAACAGACTGCGTCTCAAGTTGTATATTTCTATGGTGATTCTTAAAGCTGCACTAATTAATATTTCTCATATAAACCAGAGCCTGATATTCACAGGTATTGCGCACCGCCACCTCCTGGTGAGCCTGGGTAATTACATTCTTAATGCTGAGAAAAACGGCAAAAGATTTATGGTTATTGTGGTTGGATTTGTGCTGAAAGAGAGTTCTGCCACCTTTTTTGGTCCCATTCAGGCACCGATATTAACCAATGGATCAGATTTCTCTGTTTAATGTCTAAAGAATTGCTTGCATTGAGAATTATCACCACCTCTGCAGCTCTACAAAGCCTTTCTAGCCCCTTTTAGTTTCTGGTTTTGGTTTTTACGGGACATTTCCTGTGTGGTTCAGTCTCAGCTGTAGGAGGTAAAGAGGGTGATGTTTCCCGCTGCAGTTGGTGGAGAACAAACCAGAGCTAAAAAGAGAGCCAACATTGGACGAACACATCGTTCTGTGTCTGCTGGATGTGGAAACAGGTGTCAGCTGTTGTGTTTGCTGCCCCCAAGTGGCCAAAAAACAAATCAATGCAGCTTTAACAGATAATTATCAACCTATTTAAGATGAAAACCAACATTTTTCAAACTTTCATTGGAACTAAAGGTCCAAAATCAGGAAAAACTGACCAATATTACATTATTATATTATACTTTTGGTACATTTAAAGGACCAGTGTGTAGTGGTGAAGTTACAACTAACTGAATACTGCTCACCTTTTAAACATGTAGGAGAAACTATGGTGGCCTCAAAACTCACAAAATACCCTGTAAGATAACAAAAACACATCGATTCTTATTTTTTAACAGAATATTATCTTTAATTTCTGCCAATGGATCCTCGTAAATGTTACACACTGGACCTTTAAATATGTTATATCATTGACTTTTCAAATACTAATAAATAAATTGCAATTAAATCAGGTTCATTAGACTTTAAGTGTTTAATAATTCAACATAAGTTAAATGACAAAAGTACGATTTGAGACGCATCCTGTGTTTCTTACTTTCTCCTGCTTTATTTTTCTGATGCAGTCGTGAAATTCTTCTGGTCTCTTTATGAATCATGTTGTTGTCGCCGTGAGTTCAGCCGTACGGTGGAAATAAATCTGCTCCTAAATGACAGTAAAACATGAATGTTTTTTGGTTTTCTGAGTCTGTGCAGTTCAATGAAAGCTTCACTTTGTTCAATTACTCAACAGGATATTATTTTATTCAGTGTTAGCCCCCCCCTTCAACTCCTCTCCTCAGTCTGACTCAGTGGAATCATCTTTTCGCTCTTCTCTATGTCCACTAATATTTACTCTGTTTGTTCCTCTCATGTGAATCCTTGTGTTGCTGTGTGGGACTTTTGCACTGATGGTGGCGTTTAAGTCGCAGGAATCAGACGCAGCTTTCGACGTACACAATCTATAAAGATCGAAGCTCGTCTTCCACTTTATAGCCTCTTTCACACAGCTGCAGTCCTACAGAGAGCAGAGGTCTTTAAAGCCTTCAGCAGTCTTCCCTTTAGCTGATAGAGAGCAGGAACCACCCAACTCTATATACTGTTACACATTATGTTGCCTATTAAACTCAGTCTACAATAACAGGTGAGCTGCCTATAGCTTGTCATAGTGCATACCATAATAAGCTATAGCGCTGGTTTCCTTAAGAGACCCTTTTTCTATCATTATTTGTATCATATATTTTATACATACTTCTCAGTAACTGCAGGACGTTTGCATAAAAAGTGATTTGGATAAATTATGAGCAGATTATTTCCTTTTTATGTAATTCTCTGTCTGTATTATGGATTTTCTAATACTTATTAACAATCATACAGACTTAATAGGCTTCTTTTTGGCTAAATTCAGTGTTTTCTTGTCCATGATGCTTTGCTATTATAACTTTTTACTTCAAAATCAAGAAGCTTTTGCGACCCCTGGTGGGGTTCAAACTTTAAAAGACTCTTAAAGCTGTTACAATAATAATTATTGACAGATTAATATAATCGTTTTTTAATTTGACACAAAGGCTAAATGTGAAATACGTTGAAGATGCTGCTGAAGGCAAAACTATATTTTATTTAGTGCAAAAAGTTCCAGGTTGCAACTTCAGTGGATATAAAAAGGTTCCTGTTCTGAAAGGACTCAAATTTGGAGCAGCGTGACATTTTAAAATTTAAAATTATTAGTATAAACAGCTTGATCCTATATTTCCCATAATGCAGCTCTCATTAGAGTCTTCCTGGCACTTGGCAAATGAAAGTCTGAAGGTCTTTTGCAAGTTTTCTGTAATAAATTCGTCGTCTCTGCGCCCGATTATTTCCTCGCTGCTCCAGAGCCACAAAAGACCGCAAAGGCTTAATTGACTCTGACAAGTAAAATCTGTAGAGTGCACCTTTAATAAAACATGAAGCTCCACCAACCTCGGTGGCTTTGATGGCGTGTCACCTTCCTCTAACTGATTCTCAAACTGATTTATATTTTTTTTTTGAGGGTTGAGTGCCCACTTTCTCTCTCTGGAAGATACACTTAGTGTCACATCTGGGCTGAAATCTTTCTAATTTTGACCAAAATCCTTGAAGAACTTTTGAATTACGGATGCTGAACGTCTCGTAGTGGGTTCATTCTGTGACTCTAATCAGTGCAAAAGTCTTTAACACAAAAGAAAACCAAGTGATAACATGAGAGTTGCAGGCTTGTTCTACATGAAATCATGTGATAAAGTTTGGAGTGGTTTGCTGTTTTTTGGTTGTGTATTATACTGAGGCCGGAGTCTCCGGAAACGAGGCTTCAGCTGAGCATGAAACAAGCCAACTTTATAAATATTATACATTTTTGTTGTTGTCGCAGTTGTTTTATCAATGTTATGGAATCAACACTGCTATAGACATACTGTATGAATATAAATGGTCGTTGCTGTTTTTTACCAGACGCGGCGGTGTAAATGATGTTTTCTGAGTGGGCAGACTGGACTGTGTTTTCTGTTTCTTAACTCCATCGTAACTGAAAATCCGACACAAATCCGACAGGCAGAGTGCGAAAAGCAGGACGTTTGTTTTTCACGCTAACAGGAAGACTTGAGTTTCAAAACATACGGAAGCTAAGAGCAGCCAATGATGCTAATGCTAATGTTAGGGCGGTTATCGCCGGGATAATTAGCCTTAAAAATAACATCAGCATGAATGGTCTATTTTTAACCTGGCAGACATTCGAAGGTAAAGAAAGTTTTTTAAGATAAGGAAATTACGTCTGTATCCCAGAATAATAATCTTTAGAACCATAGCTGCATAATTAGTTATCTCAATTAAGTTTTTTATGAATCTATGTTATCTTAAGAATAAATCTAAAGATAACAACATATTTGTTATCCTGGATGCCAAAAAACATTTTAGCCCCTTAAGTCCAGAAAGATGAAATTATTAACAACTTCTGGGATGTATACAGTTTATTCGGAGAAAATAAGGTAATTCATTTGTATTAATTAGATAATTTTAGCTAATAGCATTTAATAAAACAGTTATGTCAGCACAGCAGATAAAATGTGAACCTGTAAAAGTGAAATAAATCACTATAAAGTTTGTTATTGTTAGTGGAGGTGACAAGTAACACACTTCATCTAAATAAAGTTAGATTATTCATTTGTTTTTATAAGAAACGAATCTGGAGAAGACCATGGCGGCTCCGAGCTTCCGTACATTAAAGATGGAGTTTAATTATTTCTTTGTTTTTCAACTAGAATAAGAAAACAGCAGGACAGAGCTGCCGAATCACTTTTGTCTTTACAGGAAGTCCACGTTTGTAGCCTAATTGTTGGTTGGTTATATTTATATAGGAACAATGCTAGTGATGCCTTGTTTTTTGTACAGTTTTATGTACATGGAAGTGTAGGTTTTTAAAAAATGAAGATGAAAAAATATATATATTCAAACAACGTGAAGGAAATCTGACCTTGAACCTGTAGGATTATATTGTCTAAAGTACCGTAGGCTCTATTAAATGTAGGAGTGATGATTCAGGCTCAGAGCGGAGGACGACAGCGTCTCTCCTCCAATCATCCACCGCTTTCCTTTCCGTTCTCTCATGTTTCGCCCAGAGTCTGAAGACGACCTGTACATTTCTTTAGTTCCTTTTGTTTCCTTGTTTATTTGGTCTTTTTGGTTTTCTTGGAGGAAGTCGGGTGATGTGTGTTATTTTGTTTTGTTTTTTAGCCTCATCTTTTGATCTGCATCCGCATGTTTGAATTTTAAAAAAAAATGTGGTCTTTTATTTTTGCTGAGCAAATCAAAGAAATGATATCTTGTAATTACTCCTTCCTTATAGCTTTACAATAAAATACATTCAGTCAAAGGAAGATGATGGCTGTCACTTCTTCGTTTGTCTTTCAGGTTTTTATCACCTTACCATCAACAGAGCTCACTTTTATGTGTCTTCAACTAACTAACTGACTTTTCCTAAAGATTAAACAAGTGTTTCATTGGATCAGATATTAAGTAAATCAGCTCAATTAGGGCTGAACTTTAGTTTGCAGAAAAAGTTAAGGACTTTTCTGTTTTATTTTGATGGAATAAGAAACATATGATCCCAGACTTAAAGGTTTTATATATGAAATTCACTTGTACTAAAGTAACTGAATCTCAGAACAGAACAATGGGCCCACCAGACTCCATTTACAAAACCAATAATTTTGCCTACCAGCCGATAATTGGAAAACACAATTTAAACTGGAAATAAACAAAATAAAACTCACCAAAACTCTTTATTTTAGTATTTCCAACAATCACCAACTCTGGTTTGGTTGAAAAAACCCTTAATTCACAGAGTGAGATGAGAAAATAGCCACAAAAAGGGTTACAATGGCACCAACGTAACCTTAGCTAATCTTCAGGGACAAATGCGCCTGTCAAAGTCCATCCACTAATAGTAGTTGTTGTTTGTTCCACTAACAGTAGTTGTTGTTTGTTCCACTAACAGTAGTCGTTTGTTCCACTGACAGACTCAGATTGTTACTCTCAGTGTCTGACAGCATTATGGAAAGGATCCCTACAGAGATAGACCTTCAGTTTAACCACAAACAGCCGTAATATCACTATCACTCTCCACCAGACTCCAGAGACAGAAACACTCATTTTACCTTCAGATCATCAGAACTTCATTCAAAGTGGACAGAAACAGAATAAAACTCACCAAAACCATCTCTGTTAGTGTTTCCAACAATCACCAACTCTGGTTTGGTGGAAATAAATCCGTAATTCACAGAGTGAGATGATAAAATAGGCGCAAAACAGGCTGCAATAGCTGCCATGTAACGTTAACTTATACTCAGGGACAATTGTTCCTGTCAAACTACGTCCCCTAAAAGTCGATCAATTTTCCCAGCAGACACCAAGTGTCTGCGAGTCGGGCTGACACCATGTAGTCTGAAGCCAACATTAGCAGCTTAAAGAACCAATTGAGCGACCACCGTTACCATGCCGATCCTCGACCTTGCCTCTCTCTCGCCTGAGACTTAGAAATCCAAACTTTTTCAACTTATTTGGACTTAAGTTAGAAAAAAACATTTTCTTTGGCTGAAAACAATCATCAGACAGAATTTAAAGAAATATCTGATGTGTGCAACTTTAAACTTTAGAGGAATTCCCAGAAAACGTTCTCGATGGCCCGACCCCCCCTCGCTGTCCTCGCTGGAGTTTTCATCGAGACAACCTCCCCCCTCCCTCCCTCAAAACCTCTGCCCCAAACCACTTCCGGCTTCAGACTCCGAGTGACTTACGGCCTTTTTCAGCGGCGCTCTCCTGATGTTCCTAAGGAGCCGTAAACGCCTCGCCTCTCGCTTCTCCGCCGTTATTGGATTCCACTCCAGGAAATTGACTCGTGAATCCTCCAGTTGCAGAGTGTCGTGCCCTAAAGCGAGACACCACCCAATCACATTTCAATAAAAACAAACCCTGTATGTGGCGGCGGCGGCGGCGTATGAGGAATATCAAACGCACTCAGAGGAAGGCGCTTATGACACTGTGCTTATAGCGCTGTTGCATCGCATTACAGCAGTAAATTGAAATTCGGGGCGAAATGATTAAATTCATTGCCACACAATATTTCTGGGAACAACAAAAAGAAAATATTATCACAGCTTGTTTTTGAAGAGGATGACACAGTTGCAGCAGGTTGCTTTTCTCTGCCTTCTTTCCCCCAAAGGTTTCATCACTTTACCCCATTTCTCCTCTTCCCCCTTTTTTTTTTGTCTTCACATTCCTCCTCCTCTCCTCCTCCTCACACACTTTCCTGTAACTCATCCTTCCCTCAGTCCCTCCTTCCTACCCTGATTCCTTCCTCATTTCCTTTTTTCTTCCTGGCATCCTTCGTCTCCAGCCTGTCCTTTCTTTCTTTCTTTCTTTCTATCTCAATTTCTCCATCCCTCAATCCTGTCTTCCTTCCTTGTTTCCTCTTCTTCTCCACCACTTGCTCTTTTGCTTGCCTCTATCGCCTTTATAGCTCCTTCCATCTGTCCTCTCTCCTTTTTTTCCAATATTTTTCTACTATCCCATCCCCCTTTCCCTTCTCCTCTTTACTTTTATCTCATTCATTCAGTCTGTCCTTCTTCCACTTGTTCCCTTCCTCACTTCCTGCCTTAATGTGTCCTTTCCTTCATCTGTTTTCCTCTCCTCTCTATTTGATCTTACTCCCTTGTTTCCTTCTTTCCTCTTCACCAGCCTTGGTCCCTTTTACCTCTTCCCTTACATTATCTCTCATTTCCTGTCTTCCTCTCCTTCCTATTTTCTTTCTTTATTTCATCTCAACTCCTCCTCAATTCAGTCCTTTCTTTCTCTTGCTTCCTCCCTTCTTTTCTCTTTTTCACAAACTCTGTCCATCCTCCATCCCTCTTCTCTCATTTCTTCTGTTTTTCCCTTCCCTTTGCCTCCTCCCTTCGTTCTCTTTACCTGCACTTGTTTTCTCCCCCTTTCATCTCCCTTGCATCAAAGCAAATGTCTCTCTCTCTCCTTTTTTCCCTTTTTCATCCTAACTCCTCCTTCCTTCTGTCTTTGCTTCCTCCCTTCCTTCCCCAGATTCTCCCGCACTTGTTCCCTTGTTTGCCTCCTCTCTCTCTTCATCTTTTCCTCTTCCTCCTTCCTTCAGTCTCTCATTCCTTTGTTTCTTACAACCTGTTCAAGCTGCACACTTTGATGTCTCCTCCCATCCTCACCTTGTCTCTCCTTCCCTGTCTCCTAACTCTTGTCTTTCCTTGCACTCGTCTCCTCCCTCTTTTAATATCTCCTTCCATCCTTCCTCTCTCTCTCTCTCTCTCTCTCTCTCTGGTTGCTGTGGAAGGAGGGATGTAAAGCGACCCTAAAACAGGAAGCAGATGATAATATAATAATGCAAGATGAAACTGTATTGATTGTTGGCGTTGAAATGAGGTCGCTGCAGCGGCGAGGAGGAGAGGAGAAATTAGAGTCGAAGAACGGAGGAAGTCAAATATGCAGAAGCAGCAATTTCAAGGTGATAAGGGCACATTAAGATGAATGTATGAATGAGAAATAAGACTCGGTGGAACATATTTGGTGTCTCTGGGAACGCTGGGATCGCCAGGAAGAATTTAAAATAAGTTCGAAGATAAAAAAAAAAAAAAAACGTGGCCTCCACGGGACACAGACTTTTCTTCCCGAACACTCAAGAGCTGAGATTTCTGCGGAAAAGTGGCGCCGTATGCCTGTTTCAGCCTGCTTCACACCGCAGCCTCAGTTGTGGATGAAGAGGAAGGAGAAGAAGAGCAGTGTGAGGAGGAGGAGGAGAGTGGTGTTATGTGGTCAGGAAATACATTTTTGGCAGAGAGGGAAAGCAACAGAGAGCCGTGAGGACAGAGAGAGTTTTGTGTAATTGGTATTAGGCAGACTGTCCGGCAGGCGGTGGGTGGGAGGTGATGTATGGATGTGAACAGACACTGAGGAAGAGGAAGCAGGCTGAGCTCGCTGCTGCTGCTTCCAACAGTCTGTATCGACGCTAACGAGGAAGTGATGCAATCTGAGGCATCACAGAAGAGAATAAAGACACTTTACACTTCAGTATTATTTTTTTAATAGTTTTTATGGTTCAATTTAAACACGTGGTTAATATTATGGGAATATTTCGTGATCTTGGTTCAAGGTTATATACACAAAGTTCACTTGTAACAGGATGTCGCACTAGAGCGCCATCTCAGGTGAAATCAACACCAGACTCCACTGATAAAACCTGTAATTTTAACTTGTAGAAAATCAGAAAAAACACTTCAAACTGGAAACAAACTAAAACTCACCAAAACTCTTTCCAGCAATCACCAACTCTGGTTTGGTGGAAATAAACCCTGAAAAGGGGCTGCCGCAACGTAAGCTACCGTCAACAGTTATTGTCAGTGTCTGACAGCATTATGGAAAGGATCCCTACAGAGATAGACCTTTAGTTTAACCACAAACAGCCGTAATATCACTATCACTCTCCACCAGACTCCAGAGACAAAAACACTCATTTTACCTTCAGATCATCAGAACTTCATTAAAGTGAACAGAAACAGAATAAAACTCATTAAAACCGTCTCTGTTAGTGTTTCCAACAATCACCAACTCTGGTTTGGTGGAAATAAATCTTAAATTATATATATTATATAATATATAATCTTTAAATGTTAATGCTGATTTGTTTCAGTCCAGTGTCTAGCACTAGTCTCTATTATCAAAGTCATTGTCAGTGAATGCAATCCAGGCAGTACATATTAGTGAGATATGAAAGGAGACTTACATTTAAGAGACAGAGCTGCCAAAAACAACACTAATAAATAAGTGGTAAAGGTTATGAAATAATGCTTTAAAAAGACCATTTGTAGTTACAGTGTCCTTATTTTGAAGCGGAGGGTGACTGACAGCGGCCGTATTTGATGACTTGGGAGTGAGACCAGATTCAAGCTACGCTGATAATTATTATATATTCCAGTTTTGATAAAGTTTTCTGGTATTTCTTGCTTTTCAAATGTTCTCGAAGATGCTTCACAACATAAAGTATAGAAGATAAGTGTAGAGAGTCGATGTACTTCGATGTGTCTATTTTGAATAATATTTTGGTTTTTTGCTTTTCCTGATTCATTATTAAGCCGAGACGTCTTGTTTAACATTCAAGAGTTGAAGTGGAGGCAAATTGCTTTTGGTATTTCCTGCTCCGAGACTGTAATTTCTCCACTTCAGAGTGGATTATTATGCTTGTAAACCATGTCTACATAGCATGATTGATTGTGATTGGCCAAAGAGGCTTATCAGTTGTATTCACCCCTAAAAACAACCAGCGTTTTCTTTTAAAGGATTTCAGCTGATTTTGGGCTGAATTTCTGCTTCGCCTCCTGCTGTTAGAGGACACTGAGCCGCGTGGACGGACGTCTGAACCGACCGCTGCTCTCTCTAAAAGCATGTCCTTTCCTCACTCTAAATGTTGCATGTGTATGTGTGAATTAAACCGGGACCTTATCAGAGCGCTCCCAGCCACAAGTGTTCCCATTGAAATGCAAGGCGTGATGTTTAATCATTATAAGCGAGATCTGCGGCGGCCGGGCTAATCTCCATTTTAACATTTCACACAGCGCCTGCAGTTATGTGCCTTTTTCGCTTCCTTCCTTCCGCTGAAATGACGAACAATAGCTCCTTTTTTCACAGCGGTGAAGTGGCGGCGGAGAGGAGGCAGAGCGCCGGTCACCAGCATTAACAGCAGCTAACAAACTTGACCTCGACGGGTTCATGCAAATGCACAGTTAGAGGGAATAATGGCTGCTGCTGCTAAAACACGACCCTCACTTGAACCTGCTCCATCCGGCAGAGGAAGAGGAGCCGCCGGGAGTCGCACTTAGAGCTGTTCAAAGGGATGAAGATCACCCCCAGGATCATTATGCATTACAAACTGCCATTTACATTAATGCATTAATTATGGTTTTATGCCGTTTACAGGACATAAAAAACCCTGAGATAGCAGAGTGGGAGGCTTAATTCTTCTACTGCTACTGGGGGATCAGATGCTTGGTTATAAAGGATGTGGTCATAGTGGTTATGGTCATATTCTACTGCATGAAGGTCCAATTTAAATGTACTGAGGCTGATACATTCAGCTGGCTGAACAGACACAAATAAAATTAAAGCTGCCATCAGTGATGAACAAGCCTAAGCTTTACGGGTTACACACCAACACAAAATTTAAAGTCGATGTTCAATTCTCTATGAGAAATTAGTTAAATTAAAAACCTGTTAAAGCCAAAATTGGTCATTCAGTTCAAAATGTCCGCCTTCCCCTTGGATTTAGAAAATGGCTCCAAGAGGCTTTTTTGTACATCTTGACTTGATGCGTATGCCTGCTGATTTTCATACACGCTGGTGAAACGGGACGCCGGGGCTGAATTATTGTTGTTTATAAGTGTTGTTTTTACAGCAATGTAAATAAAATGATGTGTCTGTTATTGATTCCAGTGGTCGGTTTTACTAAGTTAGCAAAGCCCTGATCAACTAAACTCCATTCAGAAAACCAGCATTTTAAAAGCTGTTTGCTCGTCGTCTTGTTCACCGACCCGACAAAGTATCAATTCAAACGTTTTACAAATCAGCATCATGATGTAATTATTTCGGCATCATTTTGATCCGTTTATCGCAATTAAATCAAAGAAAAATCTGTTTATTTTGGGTTCACACCAGCCATTGTAAACCAGATTAAAGGGTGAAACTGTCGCTAATGGGGCAATAGGTATATTCAGTTACTGGGGATAAACTAGCTGTTAGTGGTCAGTACATACTAAACTATAGGCTGGCTGCTTGTTAGCATGTAGCATCAGACGACTGCGGAGCTGTCAGACATTATGGCTGAATGTAGCTCCTGCACCAAGCGAACGAATCAGACTGATATTAGTGTAAACTAATGTAGGCTAATGTAGGAGTATTGAATTTCACATTTTAATCGACATTTGTTCACACAGAAAGTTAAACATACGGCCTATTTTTTTCTTCTTTTATGACATTATACCAAACATTTGACAACGTAACTCCAACAAAAAGAACTATGTAACATCTTTTTAATGTTATTATGATTATTATTATCATCTAATAACCCGAACGGATCCAAATATCACAGAAAATAAAGCAGATATTGTGAAAATGAAAAAGGATTGTAACTGCAGAGAACCAGAATCCTCTGTGAGGTTGCGATAGGCGGACCGAGTTAACGGGTTGGTACCCCGAGGCGGGGCTTAGCTCTGCAGCCTCGGACAGTACCAGACCTTCCTCCCACTCCTCCTCCTCCTCCCTCCCCGGGGTCTGCGATGTCTGCGGCCTCTCTCCATCACTGTCGGCCGCGGGGCAGGCCGCTGAGGAGCCCGCTGAGGAGAGAAAACAGTGGAGGGGGCGGACGGAGGGATAAGAGGCTGGAAGGAGGGATGGATGGATGGATGGAGGGAGGGAGGGGGGGAGGAGAAGGAGAGGAGAAGGGGGACGTTTCCCCCTCAGGGCCTCCAGAGGCAGCGCTCGTATCAATCACTCGACGGGAGGAGAGGGTGATTCTGACGGATGATATCCCCCAGCACAACGCCTCCTCCTTCACCTCCTCCCCTTCTCTCCCTCTGACCCTGCGTGGATGAGATTCCCTCCTTCCTTCCTGCTTCCATCCCTCCATCCTCCTCATTTTCCTCTCACATTATCCACACTTTGTCCTTCTTTACTCTGTAACTCTCACGATCTTCCTTCTTTCCCTCCTTTGTTCTCTCACTTTTCCGACTTGCATCTTCTTTCCTAGTCTTTTCCTTTTTATTCTACCCTTTCTTCTGTCTTCCTTTAATCCTTTCTTAGCTCTACCTCCTCTTCTCCTCCTAACTTCCTGCCTCCCTCCATCCTTCTCTGTTTCCTCACATCCGTCTATCCCTATCCCCCCTCCCCCTATATCTTTCTCTCTGGCTCACTTCCAGCTCTTTCCATGTCTCAATTACTTCCCACTGGTTATTAGGATTACTCTCTTCCTTCCCTCCTTTCATCCTTCTTCTCCATCAACTTCTTCCTTCCCTCCTTTCATCCTTCTTCTCCATCAACTTCTTCCTTCCTTCCTTTCCTTGTTCTCTAGCTTATTTTTCTCCTCACTCCCTCCCTCCTAAATCCCTCTTTCCCTGCTCTGGTTTGTACATTTCCGTGTTTTGTCTTCCTTCCTTCCATCCCTCCTTTCTTATACCCTTCCTCTTATCTTCCTTCATTTCTTCGCCTCCTTCTACCCACAGTCTCCTTCCTCCTTATATCCCTCTCCTCCTTCCTTCCTTCCTTCCTTCCTCTCTCTACAGGACATCCCTCCGTTCCTCCTCAGTCTGTCCATCAGCTCTTGCCTCCTCTGACAGGACCGTCTCTCGCCACACTGTCACCTCCTCCTCCTCCTCATCCTCCTCCTCGGGCTCCAGCAGCTGTCAGCTGGCCCGGTGTTCCTGGCCAAGGCGGCCTGCTCGGTGTCGTGGTTCAGCTCTGCGGAGGAAACTGCAGGAGGAGAAGGCCTGTCAAGACCAGCTCTGGGGAGGCGCAAGGTAAGGTGAGGAGGTGCAAGGTGAAGCGAGGAGGCGCTCGCTGAGTGAGAAGAGATACAGCAGAGGACCAAAAGGTAAAGGAAGGAAGCCAAGTTCAATTCTGGCTGACAGCAAAGAGGAGAGGAGAGTGAAGGAGGAGGAGGGAGGAGAGGAGGCAGGAGAGGAGGGAGGAGAGAATAAAATAAGAGGAGAGGAGCAGGAGGAGATCAGCAGGGAGGTGAAACAGCAGTAAAGCTCTAATCTCTTCTCCCAACGGCATTTCAATGGTAATGATGACACCAGCAGGAAGTTTCCACTCAGCAGGCCTCCTCCCTCTTCCTCCCTCTCTTCCTCCCCCCTCTTCTGTTTCATCCTAGCCTCTTCTGTTTGCTCCTCTTTCATCCCCTCCTCTTCTCATACTATTTACTCACCTTCTCCTCCTTCTCTTTTCTCTCCTTTTTCTTATTTCTTTCCTTTATTAACCTTCTCTCAACCTCCTCCCATCCTCTACTCCTCCTCCCCTCACCTCTACTGTCTTCTCCTATTCTTTCTCCTCTTCTTTGCCCTCTTACACCTCCTCATCATTCATTTACTCTTCCTCATCTCGTTCCTCGTCACTCCTTTATTACCTCCTATTATCCTTGTTGCTGCTCTTCACCCCATATCTCTTCATCATCCCGCTCTCCTCTTTTTCTTTCACTCATTTTCCTTTTTTCAACTTATGCTCCTTTCCTTTCCTTCCTCCTCCTTCACTTCTCCTCCCACTCCTCTTTTCCCACACTGTTTCTTCTTTCTCTCACCCTCCTCCTCCTCTTGTCTCTATATTCTCTTCTCTAAACCAACAGTAGCCTCCACTTTTCATCTTCCTCTTTCCTTTCCCCTCTCCTTCCCTCACATTATTCTCTCCTGTTCTGTTTCTTTCTCCTCATCTACTCCTCTCTCATTTCCTCTCCTTTCATCCTCTTATTTTCCACTTCCTCTCATTTTCTCTCCTCTCCTGTTTCCTCGTCCTCTTCACTTTCTCCTTTTTTG